ACAAACACCCACCTCTCCGCCTCTTCCAAGGAACGAGGGGACCGTGTGGCAGAGTTTCAGTTAGGTTTTCTTTCGCCGGTCAAGATGTCCGTTAAAGTTTAAATCTTCCGGACAAAATTAGAAAAGTGCCGGTCAAAGGTCTTCTTTGTTATTTATTGAGCTTTAAAACAAATGAATAACGACTCTATATAATAATTAAGAATAAAACACGGAGGACGGAGATCTCTTTTCTCACCCTCTTCTGACTTGATCAGAGCACGCCCCCTCTCCTGCAGGGGGGCGTGGTCAGCTGCAGCTCACAGAATCAGCCCCCTGCAAAAACAGGGCTGGAGAACAGCAAATAGAGTGAAATGAGGCATGGCTAAAATGCATGATCTGTTTGGTATTTTGAAAACAGAAACGTATAAATACACCTTATATAGGTATGGCCCTACAATATATCATTTAAATATAGCATGATAGGTGTCCTTTAAATAAGTGCTTTAATTGACGTCAGTGTACCCCGCTGCCTGATTGTGCCTGTGCTGTATGTCATTCATTCTCAACATAGATAAAAGTACAATAAGCATTCTTCAGGTGTAGGTAGATTCTCTATTCGGACATTATAGCCTATATGTGCGACTGTCGATATTGCTGGCGGGCCAACAATGGCCCGCGGGCCGCCTGTTGCCGACCCATACAATACATCAAAGTAACATACACAGCACAACCCTCTATTTAAGCTAGAAGGAACAGATAACACAACTACAACAACAGCAAAGTCAAATCAAAATAAAACTTGAATTGGAACCTTTGAATTGTGTTACCATGGAAACACCAGTGCATCTTTCAAACCTGACCCACGTGAAGACGTCCGTCAACCGGCACGAGTTATCGAAACTACTTTCACACATCAACGGTAAGAAAAACAGCGTTTCTGCAGCTGGGTCGTTTCTATGTGATGTTTACGGGAGCTATTGTTTGGCTGGCAGAGGGAGATTTATTTTACTCTTTCAAACTTATTTAGATATTTAATGAAAATAGAGTTTGTTGTTCTGCATGTTGGATACTGGGACTGAAATGTATGACCTGCTTCCTCTGCACAAGTAAGACTGATTTATTGTCTTTATTTATATTTGTAATATATAGCTTTACCTCATTTTAAAGCTGCATTTATTTAAAAAATGCACAAACTAAAGCACAACAAGATATGTCTCTATTTTGTGTCAGATGTGCAAGTGTGGAACTGGATGGACTCCATCTCTCTTTGAGCTTTGTGGTAGTGATTGTTTTGTCAAATTAATGGTCTCAATGTTAACATTTAGAAAAACACTAAATGTTTATTTTAATTCCTGTGGTTTGCTAATAAGTAATGTGGTAATCTCTGTTATTGCAGATGGCTGAACTTCAGGTAGACGATAACACAAGCAGCAGAAAGAGTTCATCAGCAGAGGTAAGTTACTTTAACTTTTAAAAGTTTTTATGTTTCATGTGGAACCTACTTGAGCAGGTCTCCCTTGAAAAAGAGATCAATGATCTCAATGGGATACACCTGGATAAATAAAGGTTTGAAATGAAATGAAAAGTGAAAATCCTGGTTAAATAATTATTCATATTTGAGTGAAAACAATGAAATTATGTTTAAAGTTTAGCAGTCTAGAGTCCTGTTGATTTAAGTTTTCAGAATTGTTTACATGGTTGCATTTGAGTCTAAACAATGAAGAATTGAACAAGCGTTCGTTATACTGAGTGAATCATATTGGTTGCTAGGAAACATCTGGCAAAATCAATCAAAGATGTAAACAGGAAGTCACCTGTAGCAAATAGTGAGTGCTAAAGCTACAGTAGCATATACAAGGAGATGGTAACATCTGATCATTCACATTTACTCTGAGGTGGGAGAAGTACTCAGATCTTGTACTTGAGTAAAAGTAGAAGTACTCAGATCTTGTACTTGAGTAAAAGGAGAAGTACTCGGATCTTGTACTTGAGTAAAAGTAGAAGTACTCAGATCTTGTACTTGAGTAAAAGTAGAAGTACTCAGGTCTTGTACTTGAGTAAAAGTAGAAGTACTCAGGTCTTGTACTTGAGTAAAAGTAGAAGTACTCAGGTCTTGTACTTGAGTAAAAGGAGAAGTACTCAGATCTTGAGTAAAAGTAGAAGTACTCAGATCTTGTACTTAGTAAAAGTAGAAGTACCAGAGTGTAGGAATACTCTGTTACAGTAAAAGTCCTGAATTCAAAATGTTCCTCAAGTAAAAGTAGAAAAGTATTATCATCAAAATATAGTGAAAGTAGCGACAGTAAAAGTAGTCATTGTGCAGATTGGTCCATTTCAGAATAATATATATGATATGTTTTATAATGATTGATCATTAAAGTGTTCTCAAAGCTGGTAAAGGTGCAGCTAGTTTGAATGACTTTGTATACTGCAGGGTAGCTTGTGAATTTACTCCAGGTGGAACTAAAGTCTGATTTAACACTTGATTATATTTCACATCATTCATCCACATCTGTGAAGTAACTAAAGGTATTCAAATACATGTAGTGGAGTAAAAGTACACCATTTACCTCTGAACTGTAGTGGAGTAGAAGTACAAGGTGACATAAAATGGAGTACCTCAAAATTGTACTTAAGTACAAGTACCTGAGTAAATGTACTTCCTACCTCTGAATTTACTGATATAATGTGATCATTTAATTTTCATTATTTTCAAATTCACGGTGTAGATATTTGAATAGCTAGTGATACCTGGATACTATAACTAATTTATAAAACAATGAAACGAGTTTGTGTGCTTCAACCCTTTTAGTGTCTGTGAGAGCCAACCCCTTTGTATTTATTTAAAAAACAAATCAGTCCGAATCAATCAACCAATCAGTGCGTCTTTGTTATTTTGTTGTATCAAGTTAATAGGTATTTATACTTCTTCCTTTATTCAGTGGTATTTTAGGCTACGACGAGTCAGAATGCATTCTCGAGTTTCATTAAAAACCTTACTTTACTTCTGTCACGTCCATTTTTAACTTGCATCAAGACATTCATATGTGTCCTCTAATACACTTGTGTCACTTTCTCTGTTGATTTATTGTTTTGTTTTATAGGAAGAGACCTGCAAAGACCCAGATAGACTTTATGATGATGGGGAGAAGAGTATCATCGGAGAACAGCTGGATCAACATCAGTCTACAGCCACGATAGGAAAACCATACACCTGTGACCAGTGTGAGAAGAGTTTCTGGAGTTCAGGGACTTTGAAGCACCACAAACGTACCCACACTAGAGAAAAACCTTTCACCTGTGACCAGTGTGAGAAGAGCTTTAGCCAGTCAGGCGATTTGAAGATTCACCTGCGAACCCACACTGGAGAAAAACCCTACTCCTGTGACCAGTGTGAGAAGAGCTTTAGCCAGTCAGGCTTTGACGACTCACAAGCGAACCCACACTGGAGAAAACCCTACTCCTGTGACCAGTGTGAGAAGAGCTTTAGCCAGTCAGGCTCATTGAAGGTCCACCAGCGAACCCACACTGGAGAAAAACCCTACTCCTGTGACCAGTGTGAGAAGAGCTTTAGCCAGTCAGGCGATTTGAAGGTCACCAGCGAACCCACACTGGAGAAAAACCCTACTCCTCCTGACCAGTGTGAGAAGAGCTTTAGCCAGTCAGGCGATTGAAGATTCACAAGCGAACCCACACTGGAGAAAAACCCTACTCCTGTGACCAGTGTGAGAAGAGCTTTAGCCAGTCAGGCTCATTGAAGGTCCACCAGCGAACCCACACTGGAGAAAAACCCTACTCCTGTGACCAGTGTGAGAAAAGTTTCACGGCCTCACGCTCATTGAAGCGCCACCAGCGAACCCACTCCTTTGACCAGTGGGAGAAAGAGTTCAGTGACTCATACAGTGTGAAGCTCCACCAGCCTACCCACACTGGAGAAAAACCTGACGTCTGTGCTCACTCTGAGAAGAGTTTCAGAGAACCAGACCACATGGGAGAAAACCTTCACTAGTGCACTGAGACTGTTCAGAAAGAGTGAGGTGGACTGTTTGACACAACTCACTGTTAAAAGATGTTGTGTGGATTTTAAAAGTTGTTCAAATGTTCTCAATAATATTCAAATGCATGCACTTCAGTTGTCAACTTGTATTTTTTTCCACAGCAAAAACACACACAAAGCTCCCTAAAGAACAAGGCACCACAGTCACTTAAATGTAATAATGTTATAAATATGTGGTAATTGAACAACAAGCTAAAGCCTACTGATTTCTAAAAGTGTGTGTATAGAGCCTTTAGTCTCACATAAGCTAGATAGAGCGTCGCTTTGAACCATAAACTATTACCAATGCTGACTGTACTCATTCAGGCCATTTTACCCTCAGAAAGAGGTTCCACAGGGGTCTATCCTTGGTCCATTCATGTTTACATTAGATGTTACATAACTTTTTCCAGTAGCCACACTTTCTCCTTCGACCTTTTCTCTGTTGGGGAGGTTTGTAAGGCTCTAAAGGGCCTAGACCCCAATAAATCAGCAGGCCCAGACGATCTCCCCCCTTGTTTCTTACGTCTAGCTGCAGATATTATAGCCCAACCAGTGTGTCATGTTTTTAATCTTTCTATAACAAACAATGTCATTCCAGATGTTTGGAAAACTGCAAATGTTCTCCCCTTATTGAAAGGTGGTGATTCCATGCTGATGAATAATTACAGACCAATTTCCAAGCTCTCTATTTTAGCTAAAGTACTTGAAAGGCTGGTGAATGATCAAATCAAAGAATATTTAAGCTTGAACAACATTCTATCTCTCTCACCAGTCAGGCTTTAGGAAGCAGCACAGTACAGTAACAGCTGCTTTGAAAGTAGTGAATGACATTGTTGAAGGCTTGGACGCAAAGAGCTACTGTGCTGCCCTTTTTATAGTCTTATCCAAGGCATTTGATACTGTGGACCATGGCATTCTATGCCAGAAGTTATCCCATATAGGCCTGTCTGACCTAGCTGTTGGTTGGTTTTCAAACTATCTTTCAAATTGCAAGCAATGTGTACAATTCAGCGGTCTCTCCTCAAGCTTTCTTAATGTGCCCAGAGGTGTTCCTCAAGGTTCGGTCTTGGGACCCACCCTGTTTACAATTTATATAAATGATGTGCATCAAAATATTGATGCCTCTGTACATATATATGCAGATGATACTGATCTATACTGTTGTGCTAGCACTGCTGCCCCTTGCATTTGAACGTCTGCAGTCTGCTTTTGACACTTTTCAGTCACACCTTTTCCACCTCAGGTTGGTGTTGAATTCAGACAAGACAAAAGTCATGTTGTTTTCCAAGAAGAAAAAGTTACCAACTGTTCTTCCCTGCATCATGTCTGCCCAGCATAACCCCATTGAAGCTTTTCACACCTACAGAAACTTGACTATTGACTATCTATGACTACTAAGATTGACTATCTTTTAAGGAAACTGATATTAAAACTGGGATTCTTTTTTAGAAACAAGGCCTGCTTCTCCACAAGTGCTAGGAAACGGCTTGGAGCTGCCACATGTTTCCCGCTCTTGGACTACGGGGATGCTGTGTACATGAACGCCTCAGCTCACTCCCTTCATCTGCTGGACGCTGTTTACCATGGGGCTCTGAGGTTCATAACCAACTGTAAACCCCTCACACACCATTGCACACTGTACTCTTTAGTTAACTGGACATCACTATCAATGCGCAGATCTCTGCACTGGTACAAATTAATCTATACCGCTATGCTTGGACTGCTGCCCCTCTACATATCACACAAACAGTACAGCTATAGACTACGATCTCAAAATTACATCACTCTGTCCGTCCCCTCAGTATGCACGGAGCTTGGGAAAAAAGTGTTACCACTGATCAGGGGCCTCATTTATAACGCCTTGCGTAAGATTGACGTGGGAAGGTTGCTTACGTAGGACCAGTGGCGTTTTTATATGTACAAAAGTGGTGGGGCACAAAAAACTTAGATGTCATATATAAGCTTCTGCAGTGACGTGCAGTGAGGTTCATGGCTGGTGAGGCACTGGCACTGACTCTTCAGGTTTACAAATATTATATTTTGACCTAAACCAAAATATATATTATTTTCAAAAGCTTTTTTTGTCTGATGCTTCGATTAATTTTAAACAGACAGTTCAACAAAAGGATACCCAAAAAATGTCATTTTATCATTTAAATATTGAATTGTTCTCTCTTAGTAAGATCCCATTTTCAATAAAATGGCGGTCTTACCTTGACTTGAAGATGAAGTCCATTTGCCTATCCTTCTGGACAAACATTTCTATTACTTTTTTGTAAAAGTCCTCCTTATGTTCTTGTAGTTTCAAAAGTCTATCATAAATCTAATCCATAGATTTATGATAAAAAAATTATATAAGTAGGGTAGACATGTGGATGTTATCCGGCTAATCAAAACGTGCATTTATCTAACAGGTACGTTTCCCACAGATCTTATTTCGAGCTATTTTCTAAAATCCTCTGGAGAAATCTCATTGCTTTTTTGTGCTTACTTCCTGGTTTTAGGACGCGCCCCTGCAGCTCTCTCGTCTCCTCTTCACACAGCACACTTTTCGCGGCACACGTACTTACAGCCAATCAGCTCTGAATGATTTGAGATGACGTATGGTGGGGATGGTAGCTCCATGCCCCTCTGGTCATTATTTTTTTGCCACACACATTTCATTACAAAATACTCTGAGCATGCGCAGTGAAGTTTTTACAGTCACCGTTGACTTCACAGCGAGAGGAGGGGCATAATCAGGTTTTGTCCCACATGGCTCTAAACAGCTCAATAGGCACACACTGTGACTGTAGACACACTAATTAGAAGAACACAGACTAAAACAGCAATGTACAGACGAATCAGATGATTAAACATGATCTTAAAATATTTTATATATTTTTTTATTTATTTTTTGCATTTTTGTAATCATTATTTGTAATACTTTCTGCTGACACTAGGTCTGTGCCCCACCTGCTAATGACCAGTCGCCACTGCGTAGGACAAAGCAAAAAAATAGGTCCAGACATTTTCCGCTATTTTTCGATTCACAAAACATTGCGTACCGGAGAGGGAAGTGCGTACGGCACTTCCTACGCCTGTTTCCCTTTATAAATCACAGTCGACTCGTAACGCCCATATTTGCCTATAAATAGTCAAATAAACGCCCATTCATTCATTCATTTTGACTGACTGCATGAAGAAGATCGCAGGAAAAAAGTTAATGACAAAAAAAATACACATAACCTTCCTCAGGCAGTGTGTTTGTCCCGAGGACAGGAGACACCCCCTTGATGAGAAACTGTAAGAAATGATCGGGGAATCCCTCCGGAGTGGAGTCATGACGACTGGATCTGAATTATTTTTGTTGTATTTGGTGGTTTGTGTTCCAGCTGTCGATCAGCAACTATATATCCATAATTCACCAGTTAAAGGAAATACAACTAATGTGTTGTGTTATATTAGCTGTACAATTTACCACATATGGTGTTCTTAGTTTCCATACCTCCTGTGTTTTACGAGCGACTTATCAAGTCTTGGCAAACGGCATAAAACACGATTAAACGTGATAGTATATAAAACCATGCTCGTATCTACAACCTATAGAAATGCAAAACGGCGTCAGTTTAGACGTTATTCTGTCCTCTGCTTACCGCATCATTTATGAGAAAACATTTCATAACATTAACACAACATATTCGAGGTGGTTTTAAATAACATATCCGTATTTATTTATTTCTCCAAGTTATATGTTTTTGTGTGCACTGAGGAGTCTCAAACAGGCGTTTGTTTAATCATTTTAAGATTGGCTTTAATCAATGTTTGAAAATAAATTCTTCATATTTGATAAATGAGGTAACATTTTATTTATGGTATTATTTCCACATATTTCTCCATTCTTCCTTCTTCTGCCAACGGTGTCGCAGTTTCTCGTCTCTCCCGTTTGTGTGCTTAGTGCGTACCATGGGTTAGAGTTTGCGTGGAGGACCCTTCTTATTATACATCCATGGGAGGACTGCACATTTTCCCGTCAAGTTAGTATTTTGTAAATCGCAAACATTGCGTAGAAACTGGCGTACGCCATTTTTTGAGCGTATATCCCTTTATAAATGAGGCCCCAGAGCCCGACTGGTGCTGCGTCATTGCGTCATCGTTTTTGCGTCATGACGTAACCGTTTGCGTGCCTGCTTCATAGAGCCAAACCGCGCGGAAACCCCTCACATCGACAACAACAACAATGGCCGATTGTATTGAAGCGCTACTCGTTTTGGTTTTGCTCTGTCGAAACTAAATGGAACACATGGGACCCTTTACTACCAACTTTACAGTCGTTACATCAGGGATGCAAACTCATCAGGTATGAAAAAGGTGACAAGGATTCGAGCCCCCCGACCCCACGGAATATCGGCTTTAAAATGAGGAATAACAGGATTTTAGCAGTCGGAACAACTAAAGCAGTTAATAACAGAAACGCCAAAGAGTCACATCTAATAGAAATGTATAAAAGCATTTATTTGAATTGTGTAGCAGTCAGTTTATAATTTTGGCAGCACTGTTGAGCATTTTGAAAATGTATTTTCATGCCTCTGTGCAAGGCTTAGTCTTTCTATCTGTATAGCCAGTGGTGTAAAGTAACTAAGTTCATAAACTCAACAAGGACTATACTTGGGTACAATTTTGAGATACTTTATTTAAGTATTTCAATGTGTTGCTACTTTGTTCTTCTACTCCACTACAGTTCAGAGGTAAATGGTGTACTACTACATGTATTTAATACCTTTAGTTACTTTACAGATGTGGATGAATGATGTGAAATATAATCAAGTGTTAAATCAGACTTTAGTTCCACCTGGAGTAAATTCACAAGCTACCCTGCAGTATACAAAGTCATTCAAACTAGCTGCACCTTTACCAGCTTTGAGAACACTTTCATGATCAATCATTATAAAACATATCATATATATTATTCTGAAATGGACCAATCTGCACAATGACTACTTTTACTGTCGCTACTTGAACTATATTTTGATGAGAATACTTTTTGACTTTTACTTGAGGAACATTTTGAATGCAGGACTTCTACTTCTACTTTTACTCAAGTACAAGA